AAAAAAAAAAAAAAAAAAAAAAAAAACACAACGCACCACAACTTGTTATGATTATTAGATTACAAAGATAACAATTAAAATAGAGCACTCCCTCTCCTTGTGCTCTCCACTACTAACCAAAAAGATGCTACTAAAAATCAAGTAGAGCATTAACGTTATGCTATATATACAAATCTATAATCAGACCAAAATATTCACAACATAAATTTCATTACAAACAGTTGACAAAGAGAAACAACAACAGCAAAAAAGATGGGAAGTGGAAGGATAACTATCATGGTTGTAGCATTAGCTTTCTTCATGGTCAGTTCCGACAATGTCAACGTGGCGACAGCTCAGTTCTGTGGAGCTAACCTGTCGGGACTGATGAATGAGTGTCAACGTTACGTCAGCAACGCCGGACCAGATTCTCCACCGCCGTCTCGGTCTTGTTGTGCTCTAATCCGTCCTATTGACGTACCTTGTGCTTGCCGCTACGTTTCGAGGGATGTTACGAACTATATTGATATGGACAAAGTGGTTCACGTTGCTCGTTCTTGCGGCAAGAAGATTCCATCTGGTTATAAATGTGGAAGTAAGTGCCCATTTATCTTTCTTTGATATTTTTATTATTCGTTTTGTAATTGCAGTCATATGACATTATTTGGATTTTTATCTATTAGGTTACACCATTCCGGCGGCTTAGTTGAAGAGGAAGGATATATACCAGCAGAACTTGGATTTGCTATTAAAAAAAATTAATAAGATGTATCAATGTTTGAATAATGACGAGAAGGATTGTGTTGTCAGGATTTGTGTCTTGTAATAAGTTTATGTAAATCAAAATGGAGACCATGGTTGGAAGATAATAAGATGGTAATATTGAAGTTAAACTTCATTTTGGACTTTGCTTAATTATGGATTTTAATAATTTTATTGGATTAAATCCAAAATTAAGCAATTTCTAGAATCTTTTTAGAAAAATCATCACCTCCTATGGTAGAATAATATCTAAATATTGTAATAGAAAAATCTAGAGAATAATAATAAAAATCTAAAAAATAAGGAAATTATAATATAATAATCTAGATATTTGTAAGATAGTTTAGGAGGCTATAAATACCTTTTCACCCTCACATTTGTAAACACCACAAGAAGTTGAATAAGTAAAGTAATAAGAAAGTTTTCTTAAAAGAAAAAAGAGTGTATACTCAAAGTTTTTGAGAGTTCTTCCATATTATTCTTCATACTTAGAAGTTCTTTTGTTTTTTTCGGGTCTCTCGGGTACTACAGTCTTGGGCTAGTGCTAAGCACTATCAACTTTATTTTTCTTTACATGGTATCAGAGCCAAGCTAATCTTGTGCTCATCAAGATCGAATTTTAAAGAGAGTTCGGGTTTTTTCTAAGTATGGAATCAACGGGTCGTGTTGTTGGATTGGAATTGAAAATCTTAAACCAATCTAACTACCGGTTATGGAAGTCATGCACTGAGTCATACTTGGTGAGTGATGACTTATGGGATGTCGTCGGTGGTAATAGCACACCACCACCAAGGGGAAAAATTGCTGCAACCCCGGAAGTGGCAAAGGAGTGGACACGAAAGAATTCCAAGGCGGAGTTTGTTTTGAAGAGGTCCATATCTTCAAGCATATTTGAGCATGTCTCAAGGTGTGCTTCCGCTAGTTCCATTTGGCAAGCTTTAGATCAACTGTTCACAAGAACAATGAGACTAAGCTACAATTATTGGAGAATGAGCTTGCGAATGCAAAGCAGGGGGAGTCTTCAATCTCAGAGTTTTTTATTAGGGTAAAGAACCTATGCTCTGAGATTAATACTCTAAATCCGGAGGAATCAATTTCTGAAGCACGGTTGAAGCCGTCTACTATTCGAGGTCTATAGCCTGAGTATACACCGTTTGTGACTTCGGTTCAAGGATGGGCTACACAACCTTCCTTGGAAGAGTTTGAGAATTTGCTAGCTTCGCAAGAGTCATTATCCATGCAAATGTCAGGAGTCAAAATCACCGATGACTCGGGAAACGCCTTTGTAGCTCGGAAAAAACAAAGCCTCAAGGCGAAAAACAAAGATGGAGGTTCAAGACACAATGATGGAAGTGAAAGATCTTCCATGGATAAGAAGAATTTCAAATGCTACCGGAGTGGAAAGCTTGGGCATTTCAAAAGGGATTGTCGAGTCAAGTTGAAGGAAACAAATATGGTGGAGTCAAAAACTCATACTGAAGACGAAGAATTGGGTAAATATTTCACGGTGGAGTCTACACATCCAGGTACACCCACAACTAAGAACTTGAGAAATGACTGGATCGTAGACTCAGGTTGTAGCCATCATATTACCGGAGATGAGAAGTTATTTTCTAGTCTTCAATGTCATGACAGAAAAAGAAGCTATTATTACTGCCGATAATTCAATCCATCGAGTTAAAAAGGAAGGGACTATTGTCATTAAAGGAGATGATGAAGAACCAATCATCCTCAAGAATGTGACCATGTCCCTGGAGTAAAGAAGAATCTTCTTTCGGTGGTGAATGCGGTTGACTCAGATAACTATGTTCTATTTGGCCTAAGAGACATTAAGTTCTTAAGGAATATTGAAGAATTAAAGGCGGATGTTGTTCACACTGGAGCACGTGTCAAAGATTTATACGTTTTATCAGCATCACACGCTTATGTGGAGAAGAAGAATACAAATGACAATGCTTCCATCTGGCATGCAAGACTTGGCCACATAAATATGACCAAGCTTAAGGTTATGGTGAATAAAGACTTGGTTCATGGACTTCCAAAGTTAAAGATTCAAGATGGAGGAAAAATTTGTGAAGGTTGTCAATATGGAAAGTCACATAGACTTCCATTTGATCATTCAGCCTCAAGATGCAGCGGTCCATTGGAGAAGGTCCATAGTGATTTGATGGGTCCAACAAGAACATCTTCCTATTCCGGGTTTCGCTACATGTTGCTGTTCGTTGATGATTTCTCACGGTACACTTGGGTATATTTTGTGAAGGAAAAGTCAGAAGTATTTCAATGATTCTAAGAATTCAAGGTTACAGTGGAAGGAGAGTTTGGTCGGAAGCTGAAGACTCTAAGGACATATAATGGAGGAAATTCATGTCAAAATATTTTCTCTCTTTTTCGAAAAGAATGGGATTAAGAGAGAATATACATGTCTGTATACACCTCAAAAAAATGGAGTAGCAGAGAGAAAAATTAGACATCTAACCGAGACGTGCAGAAGCTGGCTACATGATAAGAATTTTTCTAAGGCCTTATGGGCAAAAGGCATGAGATGTGCAGCCTACGTCATCAACCGGATGCCACTTAGTCCAAACAACATGAAGTCGCCTTACAAGATGATTCATTGGAAGAGGCCAACGGTGAAACATCTCATGATATTTGGATCAGTCTACTACGTCCATGTGTTTGACTCTCAAAGAACAAAGTCGAAAGCAAAGGCAAAAAGTGTATCTATGTCGGTTACGATGCAACAAAAAGGCTGGAGGTGTATGGATCCAGAGACACATAAATATACAGTGTCTCGTGATGTTGTCTATGACAAAGTTTCATCGTACTACGGACCACCTCAAGTCTTAGCTGAGCAAGATGATTGAGGCTCCTCCAGGATTGATGATCACATTATTCAAGTTCCAACTGAGAATGAAAACCTTGAAAAGGAGACTCAAGGTGAAAGGGGGAGCGCTGACCAAGATGAAGAAGAGGAGGAGAATCATGGTTCTATCACTAATCAACGACCAAAAAGGAACATTGTCAAACCCGCTCGGTTCAGAGATGAAAGGTTCATCACCACTTACTCTTGTTACTTTGCAGCTCCTCTAGATGAAGATGAACCATCATCTTATGAAGAAGCAAAAAGATTTAAGGAATGGATGACCGCAATGAATGAGGAGATTGATGCTCTCATAAAAAATGAAACCTGGAGTTTGATTCCAAAACCCAAAGATGCTCCACCAGTTTCTTGTAAATGAGTTTATCGACTAAAGCGCAAGGCGGATGGGAGCATTGATAGATACAAAGCAAGGTTGGTTGCTCGGGATTCTCTCAGAAGTACAGAGAAGATTATGATGAGACCTTTAGTCCAATAGCAAAGAATACTACGGTACGTTCACTCTTATCTTCAGCTGCAAGCTTTGGATGGAAATTATGGCAGCTAGATGTGAAGAATGCTTTTCTCTATGGTGAGCTTGATAAGGAAATATTTATGGAGCAACCACCTGTTTTTGAATTACAAGAGCATCCTAACCATGTGTGCAAGCTAAAGAAGGCCTTGTACGGATTAAAACAAGCTCCACGAGCTTGGTATGGAAAGCTTGCTCAATTTCTTCAATTTTGCGGGTTTATGGCATCAAGTGCTGATACAAGCCTATTCTTCAAGAGAAGTGAAAGAGTTCACATAGTAGTTCTCCTCTACGTGGATGATATGATCATTACTGGAAATGATGAGGATGAAATTTCTCGTCTACAAGAGGATATGTCGGTGAGGTTTGAGATGAAGAAGTTAGGCGAGCTGAATCACTTTCTTGGTCTAGAAGTCGAAAGGCTAAAGGATGGAATATTCATCTGTCAACAAAGTTATGCAAGAAGAATTGTTGACAAGTTTGGAGTACATGACGGAAAGGTACGCTCTACTCCACTGGATACCAACATAAGGCTCAAACGCGATGAAGGATCCTTGTTAGCCAATCCTCGACCTTATCGGTCTCTTGTTGGAAGTCTTCTATACTTAACCATTACAAGACCAGATATTGTCTTTGCGGTTGGTCTTGTAAGTCGGTTTATTCAGGAAGCAAGGAAGCCACACCTAGAAGCAGCAAAGAAGATATTGAAGTATGTGAAAACAACTCTTGGCATGGGACTGATGTATAAGTATAATGCCAAGATTTCT